CACGTGGCCGCGCCCGAGAGCTGGCAACCGACTTGGGGCCCTTTGCGGCCGCCCCCGTGAAGCCGCGGCTGGGACGCTGGCCCCGCAGCCGCCCCGGAGAAGTAGTTCCGCGCAGTTTGCGCGCGCCGTGGGGGCTTGCAACAGCCGCGACGCCTCGAGGCTTGCAATTCCCCGGGAGCCGACAGGGCCTCCGTTGGCCCGCATCCTCCCTCCCCGCGCACTTGTGCTCCTCTGCCACGCGGAGCTTTGTACGTGCCTCTCCCGAAGTCCCGGCTCCCGGGACGGACGCCCGGCCCCCCGACGCGGGAGGGAACTCTGCGGGAAGGGTGTGGTGCAACTAACCGCCCCGAGGCCGAACCCCCGGGCTCCGGGGCCCGGGCTCGGGCTCCGACTCCCCGAGAGCCTGAATAGGGCGTTTCCCCCGAGAAGTTGCTATTCAGACCCTGGCGTCCGCATGCCAGCATTCTAACCCGGTGCCGATGCTCCCTCCTCTCCGAAATGAGGCCACTGGGCCCTCCTCCCATGGAGGTCGTGAAAATCCAGGCACACAACGGGTGGAAAGCACGTGGAGGGGGGGGGCTGGCACTTACGAAGTGTTTGGGCCTGGCTGGGGTACCAGTGCCCCCAGCTTAGCAGATCCTTGAAGGTGGGGGGGGGCTCAGTTTCTGCCCTGCAGTGGCCAGACTTGAACGTGACTCCGACCCTGTGCCTGGGGCGCTGAGGGGACACTACCCCAGATCAAAGGCACTGGCCGGGTGGGGCTGGAACCCCAGATGGAGGAAGGGGCAGGGCCCCCAGGGTGATGCTGGAATGGGGGTGGGGGCACAGGGAAGTAAGACTGCATGCAGGCCCAGTTAACAAGCCATTGCTAACTAGGTTGTTATCACACTGCCCCTTGGGAGGGAAGCCTAACCCGGACTAGAGACTTGGGGGGAGAACGTGGAGGCTGGAAAGGCGGGGAGCAGGAAGTCATGGGATCCATACCGGCCTCTCCCCGCTCTCCCTCCGCCCCCCCATCAGAAAGGAGAGAATAAAAGGGAGCCAGTGTGACAGTGATAAGCTTGATCTGCACATTATGTCCTCTCCAGAGCAGGCGCGCACGGAGGAGGAGGACCAGCGATGCCGTTTAGCAAGAAATCAGCAACCTTCCAGGCCTCAGCCACGGAAACCTCCTCTGAAAGGAGGCTGAAAGGGAGGAAGAGGAGAGAAGGTGGAGCCCTAGAGGAAGAGAGGCCCAGAGATAGCCAAGGAATTCACACTTCAGCCTTGGCTCGGTGCCAGCAGTCTTGGTCTCTGGGGTCTATCTGGCATACTCCGGAGACACTGACCCTAATGTGAAGGTACTGAAAGAAAGGAGTATTGAAGGGGTGGAGGATCTATAAATCAAGGATAGAGTGCTGGCCTAGCATGCAAGAGGCCTTGGGTTAAATGCCTAGCGCTGGATTTAAATTAAAAAAAAAATCCTACTGGGAGAGTGGCCTCAGGATGGCAGGAGTCCTCAGATATATATATATATATATATATATATATATATATATATAATTGAGATCTGTGGGCTTTTCTACCAGAACTGGCTTTGAACTGTGATCCTCAGGTCTCAGCCTCCTGAGTAACTCTGATTAAGGCATAAGCCACAGCATCAGGATAGTACACAACATTTTCATACCCTTAGCACATCTGGCTGCCACCCTAGGTAATCACCATCCCAACTTCTCAGCCCAGATTAGGTTTTTTATTTTTATTTTTTGGTCTTTGAACCATGATCCTCAGATCTCAGCCTCCTTAGTAGCTAGGATTACAGGCATGAGCCACTGGCACCAGGCCCCCAGATCAGTTTTACCTGTTCATGACCAGCATATCCACAAGTCACATTGTGTCTCTTGTGTCTGGCTGGCACTTTTTACTCAACATGATATTTGTGTTATGTCCACAACTGTTGCTTAGTTCCATTGTTCATTTTTCTTTGCTTGGTGAAGTGTGTAGGATCCCACTATAATTTCCATCACACTTTATTTACCCATAGGACACTGACTGTTTTCAGTACATCTTTTTGTATCTTTGTTCATTGGTACCTTAAAAAATTAATTGTGTGGCTTTTTTTTAAGTGTTTTTTAAGGCCAAGCACCAGTGGCTCATGCCCGTAATCCTAGCTACTCAGGAGGCTGAGATCTAAGGATCGAGGCTCATAGCCAACCTGGGCAAGAAAGTCTGTGAGACTCTTATCTACAGTTAACCACCAGAAAACCGGAAGTGGTGCTGTGGCTCCAGTGGTAAAGTGTCCCCGAGAGCTCAGGGACAGCGCCCAGGCCCAGAGTTCAAGCCCCACGACTGACAAAAAAAAAAAAAAGTTTTTTAAGGCTACTCAGGAGGCTGAGATCTGAGGGTCATGGTTTAAAGCTATCTAGGGCAGAAAAGTTTCTGAGACTTTTATCTCCAATTAATTCAAAAAAGCTGGAAGAAGAGCTGTATCTCAATTGGTAGAGTGTCAACCTTGAGCAAAAAAAAGCTAAGAGACAGAGTCCAGGCCTTGAGTTCAAGCTCTAATACCAATGCACACACGTGTGCACGCACACACGCGTGCACACACAAATGATTTTTAAGGGAAGAAAATAAAGAGCTAATTTCTAAGAACTCATTAGGAGGCCCACAGATAATCCTCTGGTTGCAACTAGAGAGGCCCTAATTTTGTTGAAGTATTGGAGGTAAATGTGGAAAATCTCCATTGGGTTGTAGGAACAGAGGGGACTCCTGTAGTGTATGCGCCAGGGCACCTGACTCTATGATGAGGTATTTCAACTCAAGCATGATGGGAAATACTGTAGGTCATTTGCTTTGAAGGAATAGTTCCTCTGCTTAAAAATTATTTGGAACCCATGATTTCAGTGTAGATGCCAGGTTGAAGCACTCCCCAGGAAATGCTTATGTCATTGATTTCATCAGTGTATAGGGCAGGTTAAAACCAGTTTGACTCTTTCCCTCTCATTTAGTCCACTGTACTCCTGCTGGCATCTTTACTGTTCCTTGTAACAATTTATTACCTTCAGGGCCTCAGGGCTTTTGCACTAGCTGCTGCCCCAAAGCTCTTTCTCCAGATATCCACATTGTCAGCTGCCTCACTCCTTTCAAGTCTTGACTCAAAAGTCACATTCTTCTCATTGAGGTTTTCTTGGTGACTGAGTCTAAAAACTTCATAATTAGAACCTGATGCCTCAAGAGTCCCTTTCTATTTTTCTTTTTTTTTTCCCCCTTTGACATTTACCACTGTCAACATGCCCGAAGTTCTCTTTCCTTGTTTAGGAGATCATCAAACCAGTAGAATATAACATCCATAATGTCAGAAATTGACGGTGGTTTTTCTCTCTCCCTCTGCTATTACCTGTCAAATGCCTGGAACAGTGGCAGGAGTTGAGGACAATAGTTGACATTTAGCAATAGTGTGTGTGTGTGTGTGTGTGTGTGCGTGCGCGTGCGCGTGTGTGCACGTGCCAATATTGGGTTTGAACTCAATGCTTTTTGCTGTCCTTCAGCTTTTTCCCTCACTCATTGCTGGTGATCTACCATGTGAGCCATGCCTCCAATTCTGACTTTTTGTTGCTTATTTGCAGATAGAGTCTGGAGGATTTACCTGCCAGGATTTACCTGACTTTGAACCTTGATCCTCATTGCTACCTGAGTAGCTAGGCTTATAGGCTATGCCCATTTCTGAGACTAGAAGATTGAAAAGACACGACAGGCTTAATTCCCAATGTTTCAGAGTGTACATTTACTTTCGGCACCAGGCCTTACCTAAATGATTGATTACAATCATGACTATTGCTATGAAGCAAGACAAAATGCAGGATGCGGGGTATTGGGGTACTAGCAAAAGGTGATGATGCAGCTGAGGGGCAGGTGAGTAGAGTTCCCTGAAAAGATGAAGGTGGTGAAGGAGGAAAAGACGATGTAGAAAGGGGCAGAGCAGGGTTGAAGAGGCAGGTAAAGCAGGCTGTGGTCAGTTGCCGTACTCCAGGACAGGCTGGAAAGCTTTATTCTGAATTTCATGGGAACCACTGCTGGATTCACCGAGAATCCATCCATCTAGAACAGTCTGTGGGTCTGCCATACTGAATGAAGTGCTACAAGACGCAGACCCCTAGAGAGAAGGGAGGCAGTGGGAGGACCCTTCAAATGTCCTGGGCTGGGAGTTGATCTGAGAGAGGCAGCCTGAGGAAGTTTCTTCCCTTTCTTTGGCTCGCGAAAGAACCGAAAGCCACTGGTAGACCTCAAGGGGAAGTTCTACAAAGTTATCAACTCCCCCCTGTCTTTAAGTTTGCAACTGCTACTTCTTAGCTGGAACCCTAAACACTTAGGCTAGGACTTTGACTCTTAGGAAAACCACAGGAAGGTACTATAGACAGTGAGAGGAAAAAGCCGCCTCAGGGCTTACCCTTGCCACCTAAATTATTCTTGATGATGGGAGCCTCAAAACATGGTCCAGGCTGTAGCTTTGCCCCAATCTGCAATGAGGAGAATACAGGAGACGCTTACAGCTACTTTCCTATGACTTTTTTTTTTTTTTGCCAGTTCTGGGGCTTGAATTAAGGGCTTGGCCACTGCCCCTGAGCCTCTTTTGCTCAAGGCTAGGACTCTACCAGTTGAGCCACGGCGCTACTTCTGGATTCTTCTGAATAGTTTGTTGGAGATAAGAGTCTCACAGACTTCCTTGTCCCAGCTGGCTTCAAATTGTGATCCTCAGATCTCAGCCTCCTGAGTAGCTAGGATTACAGGTGAGAGCATCCCAGCTGACTTTTCTTTTCATTTGAAACTGGAACTTGACCTTGGTACCTGACGTTTTCATTCATTGGCTCATGCATTACCAACTCAGCCATGCCTCCAACCCAAGAATGACGTTTTTTCCCTTGATGCTGGTCTTGGGGCTTGAACTCAGGGCATGGGCATTGTTCCTGAGTTTCTTTTTGCTCAAAGTTAGCACTCTACCACTTGACCCACAGCTCCACATCTGGCCTTTTGGTAGTTTATTGGAGAGAGGAGTCTCAGATTTCCTTGCCCAGGCTGGCTTCAAACTTCAATCCTCAGAACTCAGCCTTCTAAGTAGGATTGCACTGGGCTAAGACAACATTTTATTTTTTAGAACTTGAATTTTTGTTTTCCCTTTTCATGAAGGCTTGGCTGATTTGTGTCCATTCTTTAAGAGACTGATAGCAATAATAGATGGTTATCTTTCAAAAAATATTGAGTAGCCAAATAACCAGGTTGTCAAAGCAGTGCTGGCTCCCAAGATCTCAATGGCTGTAGTGAAATTTCTGGAGGGAAGAAGGAAGAAACAGTGCCATGGGCAACTGGAAAGGTCACTCTAGAAGGACAGAGGCTTAGCAAGCTAAGATCTTGATCCTAATTGCTAACAGCTCACACCTCTCCTTTCACAGAGCAGAATATTCCTTCCACGTGCTTTGGGAGAGAAAATTATTTCTCGGAACAACGAAGCACCTTGAGTGGTTTTGGAAAAGGAGAAGAATGTAGCTCAGTGCACGGAAGGACTGGCTCAGGGAAGGTGCTGCTATCATGGAGGATATCTGGAGCATGCCAATAGGTGATAGGGTCAACTTCTAAAGAAGCAACCCCTGAGTCAGGTGGAACTCACTGACCCTCTGTGTTGAACCTTACCCAGATTTTGCAAGTAGTCACAATGTTACCTATGCACGTGGAGGTGTATGTGTGTGTGTGTATGTGTGTGTGTGTTGCAATTTCAGCTCTTGCACAGTAGGAGAAAGGAAAAGAAAAGAAAAATAAAGCACAAGACAAAATATGTCTGTGTTACATCTCACGACATTTACAGCAATTAAACTAGATCATAGACCTAAGAGTACAACTTGAAACTGCTAGAAAAAAAATATGGGAGAGGCTGGAAATGTAGCTTAGTGGTAGAGTGCTTGTCCAGCATGCATGAAGCCCTGGGTTCAGTCTCTCAGTACCACATAAACAGAAAAAGCCAGAAGTGGTGCTATGGCTCAAGTGGTAGAGTGCTCGCCTTGAGCACACAGAGGCTTGGGGACAGCACCCAGGCTCTGAGTTCAAGGTCTATGAGTGGCAAAAAAAAAGAAAAGAAAATACAGGAGAAAAGCTTGGTGGCAATGGAAAGCAAAGACTTCTTTGAAATGATATAAAAGAACACAGTCTATGAAAGAAAAGGCTGACCAGGTGCCAGTGTCTCCCACCTGTAATCCTAGCTATTCAGGAGGCTGAGATCTGTAGCTCACAATTTGAAGCCAGGCAGGGCAGGAAAGTATGAGACTCTTCTCTCCAATTAAACAGAAAAAAAAAAGAGAAAGAAAAGCTGAAATGAAGCTGTGGCTCAGATGGTAGAGTACCATCAGCCTTGAGTGAAAAAGATAGAAGTTCTGACTTTAAGCCCCAGTACACACACACACACACACACACACACACACACACACACACACACACACACACCATTCTCAAAGACCCAGCTGGGTTTGGGGTCACTGAAGAAGGGAGGGCAGCAGTGGGGATTCTGGGGTCCTTTTAGCAGAAAGGTATTTCTGGGCCCACACAGGGTGTGTGGGGTCTGTGTTAGTGTCAGTGTTGACCAGTGCAGACTCATCAGCTGCTCTGTGTTGGGGCTGAGATACACAGATCAGGCACATGTCCCCAAGACAGCTACAGGACCAGCCCTGCTTTCATAATCTGGGAATGGCACGATCTCGTCCCTTTATCCAACCAGATTTCTGGGGGCCTTAAGCCAAGAAATTGCTTCCCCAATATCACCTTCAAACTAGCATTTCTACCCTTTCAATCACAGTCATCACATTTTGAAGACAGAAAGTTAGAGCCAAGAGCATTCGTTTACTTCAGAGGAAAAAGCCCATGACTCCCATCTCTCCCTCCTGAGCAGAAGGGATTACAAGCATGAGCCAACACTCCTCCCCCTCTTCTTATGAATGAGGACCAGAATGGTTAATTTCTGGGAAATTCCATTTGTAATATCTTAGAAAGAGCTGGGCACTGGTGGCTCACACCTGTAATCCTAGCTACTCAGGAAACTGAGATCTGAGGATTGCAGTTCAAAGCTAGCCTGGGCAAGAAAGTCCATGAGACTCTTATCTCCAGTTAACCACCAGAAGTGGCACTGTGGCTCAAGTGGTAGAGCACTCACCTTGAGTTCAGGAACAGCACTCAGACCCAGAGTTCAAGCCCCATGACCAACCAAAAAACAAACAAAAAAATCTTAGAAAGAAATTGGCCACCAGAAAAGCAGAGTTTTGAAACCTGAGTATAAAATCTGGTTGGCAGGAATTACTTTTGGCTTTGTCCAATACCCTTCCAGAGCCAGTGTCCTCAGATGTTGGTAATTCAGAGGATGGTGGCTGTGGGGGTTTGGGCCATAAGGAGGAGAAGCCACACACTAATAGGAATATCTATGTCAGGGTAAACTTACAAAGGCCTGAATTGGGTCCACTCAAAATCATATGGTAAAGATGTCAGAATATGAGTGGATTAGAGATAGGATCCTTAAAGGGGCAATTAGCTTAATGAGACCACTAGAGTGGGCCCAACCTTCCTTGTGTCTCTTTAAGAAGACATTTGGAAAACTGGGTACTGCTGGCTCATGCCTATAATCCTAGCTACTCAAAGAGGCCTGAGATCTGAGAATCTAGGTTCAAAGCCAGCCTGGTCAAGAAAATTTGTGAGACTCTTATCTCCAATTAACCACCAGAAAATCGGAAATGGAGCTGTAGCACAAAATGGTAGAGTTCTAGCCTTGAGCAAAATTAACCTCTGGGACAAATGTCTAGGCTCTGAGTTAAAGCCCTATGGCCGAGGAAGGAAGGAAGGAAAGAAGGAAGGAAGGAGGGAGGGAAGGGAGGGAGGGAAGGGAGGAAGGGAGGGGAGGGAAGGGAGGGAGGAAGGAAGGAAGGAAGGAAAAGACAACATTTGGACATAACATACAGATATCAAAATGGAGCATGTGTGAGAGGACAGAGAGAGATGCCACCTACAATTCAAGGAGAGGGGCCTTGGGAGAAGTTACTGGGTCCGAACCTCAATTTGGAACTTCCAGCCCCAGAAAATTCAGTTCATTTAAGCCCAGAGCTGTGGTATTTTGTTGGGGCAGTCCAGACAAACCAATGTACACATCATGAATTTGTGGGTAGCTAAAGAGAGGCTGTGCCAGGATAATAATAACCCACACTGGTGTAGGGTTTACTTGGGCAAGTGCTAAGCATGTTAAGTGTTTTACATTATTTTCTTTCCTTTTTTTTTTTTTTTTTGTCAGTTGCAAAGCTTGAACTCAGGGCCTGGGCACTGTCCCTGAGTGATTTTGCTCAAGACTAGTGCTCTTCCACTTTGAGCCACAGCTCCGCTTCTGGTTTTTGAATGGTTAATTGGAGATGGAGAGTCTCCCAGGGACTTTGCTGTCCCAGCTGGCTTCAAGCTGGGATCCTCAGATCTCAGCTATGATTATAGGCGTGAGCCACTGTGCCCAGCTTTTTTCTTTCTCTCTCTCTCTCTTCTTTCCTTCCCTCCCTCCCTCCTTCCTTCCCTTCCTTCCTTCCTTCCCTCCTTCCTTTCTTTCTCTTTCTTTCTTTCTTTCTTTCTTTCTTTCTTTCTTCTTTCTTTCTCTCTCTCTTTCTTTCTTTGTTCTTTCTTTTGAGACAGAGTGTCAAAACTGGCTTTGAACTCATGATACTCCTGTTTCAGCTTCCCAAGGGTTGAAAGATAGGCTTGCACCACCACACCAGACATACTTCATGTGTTTCAACTCCAGGGCTCTTAACAATAGCACTGTGAGAGAGACTCAGTTATCGTGTTCTTGGATAAATGAGAAGTGTGTGTGTGTGTGTGTGTGTGTGTGTGTGTGTGTGTGTGTGTGTGTGTGTGTGTGTTTCTGAGTCATAGGTTCAGAAACAGACTGGGCTGGGTTATCAGCCCTAAGTCACCTGGGCTGAGGGCCTCCTTTCCTTAGAAATCTAGTACACCTTTTGGAGGGTTTCTGTTTACGCTAGCATTTTATCACAAAGTGGAAAGATAGATAGATAGATAGCATGGTTGCAGAGAGTGGAAAAAAAATCCAACGAAATGCAAACAACATAGGTGCTTGGGGAGGGAGAGAACCAGAACTTCCAGTATTTGTATGTCATCACCCACCAAAATCTGGGTAAAGAATCCTGAAAATTGTTCACCTGAGGTAGAAGAGAGACCACCTGGAGGAGCGCAAAGTTCCCCAGGGACGTGGTTAGCAGGTGGTAGGAGCACCTGGCACAGGAGTAGGAGCTGCTTGAACCAGAAGAGAAGGCAAAATCAGCCAGGCATGAGAAGGCTCAGGATAGGAAAAATGCCCACCTCTGGCAAGCACCCTGCACTCCCTCCCTCGTCCTCCTCCATATGCATTCCTACTATGGAAAAGTAGAGAAGGGAAGTTTCTTGCCCAAGTTCACACAGCTACATAGGCAGGTGGCTGGATTCACCCAGGTTTTCT